AAGAAAACGAAAAATGAGTGATAATTTTCGCTTTCAGAAAGCAATTCTACGTGTTAAAAAATACAAATTTACAAAGTTTGAAAAAACCCAAGATGAGATCGTTATACTGCATATTTACCGAATCGTTCTATAGTAAATCGGGTGCGCTGGATACAAATGTGACTTTAAGAACTGTTCATCACGTCAGATTTCCGAGAAAATAGATATTTAAATTCCCCAAAAACACATTACTTATAGACTTATAACGCATGAAAAAGATGCCATGAACTACGAAAAGTTCTAAAATTGAAGTTTAAAATTATGTATTTATTTTAAAAAGTTGGAAACTTAAGATTTCTTGTACTTTGTTGTGGCCATATTATATTGTTATATTTGTGATGTCAGAAGCAAAGAATGATACGCTAATGAAAATTGTGTTATTTCTAAATAAAAATAAATATGGATGAAAAAGTATTTGAGTTTGCTAGAGTACACTTGTAAAATTTTCCGAAAATTATCCCTTTCTATTGATAATTATTGATTATCAAGAGAAAGAGATATCTTTATTCAGAAATGGCATACAACTTTCGTCAGCATGTCATTCCTCGCTTCTGATTCTCTCGTCACAAATTCCACATGGCTCGCAAAGTACGAGGAGCCTTAAAAGCGTTTGGAATCTCGTAAAAATGAGAATCAAATAATAAGACCCGTAAACTAAAGAGTATCAAGAAACAATCTTTCTTTGCCGGACTCTTCGCTTCACATTTTTCTCTCCTTGCACCGAGTGAAAGTCTCTTTGAAAGGTGAAGATCTTTGCATCGCAAGGAACGATAGATCAGTCAGATTTGCGTGAATAATTCCGTTATTTCATGCCTGTGATACTATATTGTATTGCTTTGTTATGCTTCGACGGAACTGGGATAACAATGCGCTTCTGTAGCGACTTACGCGGGTCAAAGAATTGCAGGATGATTATTCAGAAATAGTGACTCACGCGTACGCACACATATGTAGGAAGTTCATTAACACATTGCAGACTACTGATTTTATTGTTGGCCGTGCTTAATGACTAAGTATTAGATTGATGTAAAAAGTTTGTAGTAAAATAGGAAATTTCGAAGAATCAATAAGTTAAGAATAAAATGAGCTATATAGAGGAAAATTGGGACCCTTAGTACAGTTTTTGGAATTCTATTTTTCAAATTGTGTTAAATGCTTTTAGAATATTCTCTTTAGTATCAATAGATAGTATACATATATAATTACAATAAAAACATTTAAATAAAATAATAAATTGACATGTAAACGAAATGAAACTTTTTTTTCTCAAAGTAGAAAATTATACGAATGTACTCGCGAGTGGGGTAGCTTTATACAGTTAATGAAGTACCTACGTACCTATAGGTTTCGGACATAATTATAAAACACAAGAATTATCATCTCACATATTTATTAATAGCTAAAATTTAAATAAAAACGAACTTTTATAAATTTTTACGATAATAAATATAACATTTTTTAACCTTTACATAAATATTCAAACATCTTATTAAAATAATTTTTTAATTATCATGTAACTATAATACTAAATACTCAGTTTGGTCAAGAATAGAAAAATTTTACAATTAATCAAAGAATGTGCACCTCTTATATGAATGAATCTCACTGTATAAATGTTCTCCAAAGTGAAAAGAAAAAATTATTCTATTTTTTTATAGAATCCACTAAAAATGTAATAAAATTTATGATTAAAACATAATCTTAAGAATTTCTACTTACTCAAAAATTGTTATACTTGCTTTTAATACTAATAGAAACTACTTAACAGCAGTCATATACTTCGATCAGAAATTTAGTCAGAGAGCTCTAAAATGTCACGTCCTGTTCTGTTGCTCGCCGTCGTCGAACAGACTTTGCTGATATGTAGATGCGTATAAAGACAAAATAAAACACGTATAACCGTGTTCCAATTCTGCGCAATTTTTATTTTATTACCGATATACGAATGTGCTTCGTGTACGAAGGGACTCAATCTTCTTCTACAAGATATATGTCCACTAATTTACAGAGGAGCCGCGGTGTACAGGTAGATTAGGTCTAACTGAATAAAAAATGCCTACTATTTTGCAAACAATCACGTAAAATTTTGAGTTATTAATCGACAAAGATTCATGAATGATCACGTACCATACAGTGAGTTATGATAACTATGTTTACTGCTGTATGCTTGTATATTAGATGAAATTGAACAATTGTGCACAATAATGCACTAGTCTTTTTTAATTAATAACTAAAAATGTACGTGATTATTTGAAAAATGGTAGAGGACTTTTTTGTTCAGTTTGAACTAATATACAAGCATACAGCGGCAGACGGTGCCAACTCATCTACCGTATCAGCACGTTATCATTCACTAATCCTATTTGATTAATAACTCAAAATTTTACGTAATTATTCGCAAAATGGCAGAAGAATTTTTTCTTCTGTTTGACTTAATCTACCTATACACTGCGGGTCCTCCGTGAGACACCCTGTAGACTCGGTATCTTTTTAAATCGTGATCCGCCTTGTCCTTCAAAGAAATAAACTCTACTTCGCCACTTGAAGTTTTAGAACGCAGCTGTGCGGGCTTGTCGGTTATCTTACGGTGGAATTCACGTTATGTCTATGACATAATCATTTAAAATCGCGCGAGGGCACGACTTATCACAATTAAGTCGTCGCTTGAGATTACAGATTTCTCGCGCTGATACAAAAAGATCGATTACATCAGCCAATCTAGATAAGGCTGTTCACTGATTTTGTAGTCGGCCCGCGCACGTCTTTTCTCCTGCTTTTGGCGCCGCTTCAAATTTTTTCCGGACGCTCGACCCGTAATCCGCGGGATATTACGATACTGCAGCGTGTGCGCAAGCGTGCACGACATGCGTGAGAGTCGTTTTACTTATTATTTGTAATTTTATACTCGTCGCGTTTTTTCGTGTACTCAGCTGTTGACTAACTGCACAAACATCTCTCAGACATAACGCCGTCTGCGTGAATCTGAAATGCGGCGGAATAATTGATTTTTTAAATTTTCACTCGCTACATCTTGCACGAGTAATGTCTCGAGGATCTTAAAAATTATTCTGGAAAACTGAAGGAAACTTTTCGTTGGCAAGTCGAAAACTGTTTATATTCTATAAGATCTCTTCCTCAAGTCGAAATTTTGGCCCTATGTTACTTTGAATTCTTGAACATAGTAGGAGCTAAGTTAGCCAAATAGTAATTCTAATGATACAATTTACTCCTACTTTGATTCTGATGATGCCCGAAATTTCTCTTTTCATTTTCTTTAGTATTAAGATAGATGTTGAACAGAATAGTGAAGTTAAAAATAGGATAAAAATTTTATCTTGGATAGGTAAAATAGAATCAAAATAATATTAAAATAGAATCAAAAGAGGTTACTCCCTTATAGAAATATCATACTAAGAATCATTGATAATTACTTATTATCCAGTATTTTTAATACTGAAAATAAGTAATTATCAATGATTCTTAGTATGATATTTCTATAAGGGCTGTTGTTTCCGAGTATCAAAATAGGCGTTGAATGGGATAGTAAGGCTGAAAGTAGGATTACAATTTCGGGGTATGTATTCCTTTATTTACTCAAGCTTCGTACGAGAATTTAAAAGAAGAATGATAAAATTTTACAACAATACATTTGAGAGCCTTAACAAGATATTCTGCAGCTTATAATACAACTCATTTTGACACTGAAGCTTGCATTATAAGTTTCAAATTATCAAAATTGATGTTGAATGGAATAATAAGGCTTAAATGTGTCAAGGAAGTAACTTTTGAAATTCATCTTACGCGTTCAGAAACACAGCAGTTAACCGTTTGAAAAGAGGAAACGTAAAGAGATCGTACAAAATAAAAACAATGCAGAAAATATTAGCAACGTTTACATTTTTGCTTTCAATTTTTTAATAAAAAATTTCTCACAATAATTTTTAAATGGCCAAAATAAATTTCTATTCCAGCGCGCCGCTTCAAGAAAAAGCCCGAATTTCTCAGTATAATTCAGTATAATTTTCAGGAAGCCGGGAAGTGTTTTTGATTTATTCATG